GCCTGCCAAACAACAATGACAACTACAACAACAACAAAAATAGCTGGGCATTGTGGCAGGCACCTGTAATCCTAGCTACTTGGGAGGCTAAGGCAAGAGAATCACTTAAGCCCAAGAGTTTGAGGTTGCTGTGAGCTGTAACACCACAGCACTCTACCAAGGGCAATATAATGGGAGAGAGAGATGAAAGAAAGGAGAGGAAGGGGAGGAAGGGGAGAAAGGGGAGGAAGGGGAGAAAGGGGAGGAAGGAAAAGAAGGAAGGATCTAATTACTGGTTCATTTAATCAATCTTTAAGATACTCCACAGGAATATAGATGTTTGAGAAATAACAAACAGCTCAGTGTGGTTATTTTCGCTCCACCTCCCTTTTCCTCCATTTGAATTTGAATCAGCACAGCTAAGAATGAAGTTATTTTCCGAAAAGAACAGCAACATGCAATAGTGGTCCTTTCAACCACTTCTCAGCCACTGAACTCACATTAGGCTCATCTAGGCACTCTCAGTGATTCTGATTTAATTCTTCTGGGGTGGGATCTGAGCACTGGCATTTTATAAAGTGAGTCATATGTGTAGCCAGAGTAGAGAATCCTGGTTGGAACATAAGTAATGCTGGGGAGGATGAGCCAGAAACCAAGGCTGGAGGCAGGACAAAGTGAGATTAAAAAATTAAACACATTCTACATAGCAATTAAATTCCAAGCTGGGCGTGGTCGTTCATGCCTGTAATCACAGCACTCTGGGAGGCCAAAGAGGATGGATTACCTAAACTCCCAGGTTCCAGACCAGCCTGGGCAAGAGTGAGACCCCATCTCCAAAAAAAAAGAAAAATAGCCAGGCATTATGGTGGGTGTCTATAGTCCCAGCTCAGGGAGGCTGAGACAAGAGAGTTTGAGGTTGCTGTGAACTATGATACCACGGTACTCTACCAAGGGCAACAAGTGAGACTCTGTCTCAAAAAAAAGAAAAGAAGTAAGTCCCAATAGGCAAAAGTATCTCCTGTTAATCTACTTTTCTGCTGAAAAATAAAAGGAAAATTTGCTACACAATAAATAAATCTAATCTCAAATAAAACTCTCCTCTGAAGGACAAAATTTTGTTTCACATAAAATTTGATTTTACTGATGATTTATCTAGAGATGAGACTTATCATTAATTTAAGAAGTCGGAATTTTGGGCAGCGTCCATAGCTCAGTGGGTAGGACACTGGCCACATACACTGAGGCTAGGGGGTTCCAACCCGACCAGGCCAGCTAAAACAATGACAACTGCAACAAAAAATAGCCACACGTTGTGCCGGGCGCCTATCATCCCAGCTACTTGAGAGGCTGAGCAAGAGAATCGCTGAAGCCCAAGAGTTGGACGTTGCTAGGGGCTGTACACCACAGCACTCTGCCTAGGGCGACAGCAAAAAAAAAGAAGGAGGTATTTTACAGTCCTGGATATAAATAAAACAAACTGAATAATGGGTGAACAACTGAAAACCAAAACTTCAACTGCAAAATAACCTGCATGACCTGTTGATAAGAATTTTTTTAAACTAAGGCAAAAAGCTAAAAATTTGAGTATATAAAATTTAAAGATGAGGAGCAAAAAAAAAAAATCCAATTAACTATTCAAGGAATTTTATATGAACATCATAAAACTGAACAATGAGGTGTTTGGTTTGGCAAGAAGAGAAGACCATTTGGTGAATGACTGGAGATAATTATGGAAAGGTTGCATAATCCATGGAGAACAAGGCTCAGGAGGCAGAGGTATGGTGTGAATCCCAGCTCCTGCAGAAACTGGAATGCCTTTGCAAAGTCCCTTCACATCCTGAGCTTCCTTTTCCTTGTCTGTGAAATGTAACTTTGGCCCCCATCTTGTAAGGTTGTTGTGAGGATTAAACAAGACAAAGTTTATGGAAGCATCAAGTACAGCATCTGCTTCATAGAATTCTCCCAAAAAAGTAAAGAGTGACATAATCAACGCCTTCAGAATATTATTTGATACAAAGGAAAAAGTGTACCATCTCTAAGCAAATCCTCTGCCTTCGAAACCATCCATTAAGAGGAGAAAATGTAACATTGTCTTTATTTATAGCCCCCTCACACTACCGGGATTCAGTACAGGGGCTTCTGCACTGTACAGAACGTACAACCGAGAAGTTCATCTGCAACAGGGAGAGGGTTGTTATTTACTGCTAGGAGCTGCTGGGTCCTATGAGAGCCTAAACAAAGCCACTGTGTTCTCCTCAAAAGCAGATTAGAGAAGCACTGTTTCATTTGCCGTGTCAGGAGACACTTAGAATTCAGGGTGAGATGTAAACAGTTTGGGGGATTTCTCTCTA